CGCGCGCACGCAGCACAGCCGCACCAGGTACTCCGCGCCCAACTCCAGCTCCTCCAGCTGGAACTGTGTCTCGCTGCCGGAGTACACCTGCACCACATAGACACAGTTAATAGACACTAGTCCGGCATAATTTGGAATACGTCAAAAAATGTAGTAAGAACTGACCTGCTTGTAAACGGCATCCTTGGCGCGCGCGCACTGCAGCACGTACTCGGAGTCATCCAGCGCGTCCCACGACACCAGCGCGGCGCGGGGCGCGCACTGCTGCACGGCGGGGGCGCGGGGCGCGGGCGGGGGCGCGCTGATGGTGCCGGCCTCCAGCGGCTCCGACCACACGCCGCGCCCGCCGCGCTCGTCGCTCGCACGTATCCGGAATGCGTAGGTGGTCGCCTCGCGTAACTTCTTTACTTTGCAAGATCGCGCGGAGCCGCGGTACACGGGGCGGAAGTCGCGGGCCTCCAGCGAGCGCATCTCCACACAGTACTGCGCGCCCTCCCCGCCCGCCGCCGGCCACTCCAGGCGCAGGTAGTTGTGCTGGGCCTGCACACAGCGCAGCGCGGGCGGCGCGGGCGGCCGCGGCCGCGTGCTGGCGCGGGCCTCCTCCGACCACTCGCCCAGCCCCAGCTCGTTGAGCGCGGCCACCCGCACGCGATACACAGTGTCGGGCTCCAGCCCCTGCACGAGCCGCTCGGGCGCCGGCCCGTCGGTGTCGAAGGCGGCGTCGCCCACCTCGACGCGGTAGCGCAGCACGATGGCGCCGTGCGCGGGCGGGGGGCGCCAGTGCAGGCGCAGGCTGTCGGCCGTGGCCTCGTGGCGCAGGCCGGCGGGGGCGCCGGGCGGGGCGCGCGGCGTCAGTACGTCGCGTACGCCGGACCACGCACCGCGCCCCGCCGCGTTGGTGGCGCATACTCGGAAAAAATAGGGGGAGAACGGGACCAAGCGCCCCACGAGGCAGCTCGTCTCCGCACCCCTGTACACTTCTGAGAAGGCGTCGTCGACGTTCGTCGCACTCATCTCGAGGCGATAGTCGAGGATGGGTGCTCCATTGTCGCGTGGTGCGGTCCATTCCAGGCGGGCGGAGCGAGCACCCTCCAGTTGTGCAGTGGGCGTTTCGGGTGCCTCGGGTGGCGCCGGTGCGGTCGAAAACGTGAGAGCTTGAGACGGTGGGCTCGCGCCCACCCTGTTGTACGCCGTGACCCACGTGCGATACTCACGACCAGGCATCAGTTCGCGAACTATGCATTCGCAGTCCAGTCCTTGATAGGCGAGGCGAGCAGCTCCATCAGTATCGGCCGAGGGAACGATTTCCACCCGATACTCGGTAATGGGTGCGCCGCCGGTACAGTCTGGCGCCCGCCAGCGCAGCGCCAGCAATGTACTGCGCGGCTCGGCGGCGGGCGTGGGTGCCGCCGGGGCGCCAGGCACTGCGCACTCCGTCGTTACAGTCTCCGTCGTTACAGACCAGTCGCTCGTGCCGGCTTCGTTGTTACAGCGCACGCGCGCTCGATAAGGTGTACCGGGCAATAATCGATCGCAATGTGCTTCGCGCTCTGGTCCACGGTAAGCCGGTCGATATCCGTCGCCGGCGTCGAGCTCGAGGGTATAGGAATCGATGGTTGCGCCACCGTCGTCGACGGGTGGTTCCCAGCGTAGGCGGAAAGCACGTGAATGGATACGTCCACGTGCAGTCGGTCTTCCAGGTGGCCCGGGGCGTTCAGGTAGCGTTCGGTAGGTCACTTCTACAGACCAGGGACCTTGACCGTCGACGGTCTCACTTCGAAGACGAAAACGGTAATCGGTAGCACGATGGAGTCCACTGCAGACGTAAGATCGGTCAGGACCCGAATACACAGGTAAAAACCCATGGCCGCGAGCTGCGTCATCCATTTGTAATGTGAATTCTTCGTCGGAGCGACGTTCCCACCCTAGAATCAGAGATTCGTTGCTGGCAGAGGTGAGCGCGGGGGGAGCGGGGGCTGGCGGGGGACAGCCGGTGGTCCAGGCGACTGCCTCCTCGCTCCACTCGCCGCGCCCGCACTCGTTCACGGCGGCGATACGGAACCGGTAGCGAGTCTGCGGCCGGAGGTTGTTGACAGTGTGCTGCCGAGTACGGGGCCGGCTGACCTCTACGAAGCCCTCGCCGTCGTCCATCTCCAGCACGTAGTAGAGGATCCGCGCGCCGTTGTCGGTGGCGGCGTTCCAGCGCAGTGGCAGCGAGGTGCGCGCGCGCTGCGCCACGCGGGGCGCCGCCATCTGGTCGGGGCGCGCGGCGGGCGCGCGGAATGTGGCCGACGCACTCGTCGCGTCTAACTTGCCGGCGCGGATTTGGAGGCATACCGAATATTCATAACCCGGCTTCAGATCTCTCACCCTGTCATATGAAAAAAACAAGTTATTATGGCACAAATCAAATCACG